GCAACCAAACATTTTCAGGGCACTACCACAAAAGGAAATCCTTGGCCAGTGAAAGAAAAGATTGTTTAAAAAAATATAAAGACAGTGTCCTGTTGTAAAACAAGAATAAACTTATTCGGTTACAAAAAAGGTGTAAAGATATTCAACATGTGCATAACGCTGATTCATTGAGATGTCAGAGCATCCTTGAAATGTCCCTGCGCAAAAACAAACAATTAAACAAAGGGAGGCAGAAAATCCTATTTCATTGGAGGATGGATCAAATTTCTCCTGATACATTATAATTTTCATGTTACCAAATTTGGCTGATGTGATAGAATTTACTCATCGACGTTGCATTCATTTACGCAGGGGTAACGACCAAAACCTGTTCAGCTATTTGGCATTGCATATATATCAATTAGTAAAAACAAAACATTCAAAATTAAATCAACATGAGATTCAATTACAAAAACAGCCAGAAATGGTTATCAAATTAATCTTCTTTAGAGATATTGTGAGAGGTGATAACAATGAAATACTTGTTCGAAATCTGTATTCTGCAAAATACACATGTATTAAACCTGTATTAAGAAACATGTATTGCAGCTTTTATATATGTTTATAAACAGGGTTCTCCATGAGCTCTTTTATTGTGTTGCATCCTACACAGTAAAATTTTCTCCGACACAGTAACGATTCAAATTTTATGCATGTGACACAGTAAGATCGGTGATAATTAAAAAATCTAAACATACTAATTCTCTCTGATTGAAATTGTAATCAAACATTTCTACCGTCATTCTAAAAGTTAAATTTCCAAAACGAGAAGTTGTAGAGACATGGGACTAACTACAAAAGATTAATTGATCTTTGATCAATAAATTTATGCAAAGGTCAAAGATCAAGGTCATTCCATAAAAAAGGAGAGAAATTCAACTGTTTTATACCTCTTTTGTCTTTCAACTTATATATTCTGTCTTTGCATCATTAATATGACTCTTAAAACTATTTCAATAGTTTCATTCATGTGACTCTCTTAAAATTCATTGCCCTTTGTGCGAAAAACCTTGTTATTGCTACTTCTCCAAAACCGTAAACAGTAGAAGTATGAAAACTTTACCAATGTCTTTTACTAATTGAGAGGGGACTCTCCAATCTATTCATTTCGAAAGTATTCGTTGAAACCTTCAATCAGTTATTGTCCCTGAAAGTTTTTGAAGTTTATGAACAATTAATTTTCAAAACGAAAAGTGTAGAGACATGGGAATAACTGTATAAGATTCATTGGCCTTTGACCTTAAAATTTATGCAAAGGTCAAAGGTCAAGATCATTCAAAAAATAAGAAATTAAGCTTGTTTTATCTCTTTTGTCTTTCAAAGTATACTATTTGTCTTTTAATCCTTCATATGTACTCTTTTAAAAAGTATTTCAAATTTATCATTCTTGTCCCCCTTAGATTGACCCTTTTAAAAGTCACCGCCCTTTAAACGAGAAACCTTGTTATCACTACTCCTTCGAAACCGTAAACCATAAGCCATAGAGACACGAAACCTTCACTAATGTCTTAAGAGCCTTTAGGCACACTTTCATATTGTATGTGTAAAAGGATCTGTAGACACCTAATATGACTTATTACCCTTCAACTTCTTTATGCTAAATATAAAACTTTATAACGTTAGAACTAAAAGTCGTAGAGGCACGGGGTAAATTCTTTATTTGACCCTTCACCTTTGACCTTGAAAATCTATAAAAGGTTAAAGGGTCATATCAAAATTTTAAAATTGTTCAATATTACTATCCTTTAAGCCACTTATGCTTTCTTTTTCATGGTATTTAAGGAGTTTGATATAAAACAAAATTGAAATTCAGAGAAGGTGGAACGACCTCTTATTTGTCTGTGAACAATAAATCTTCTAGTTTTATTTGCTTCTTTCATAAATTAATTTAGTACACCTTTACGATGCATTTCCTATAAAAATCCAAAATATAACATAAAATTCACTTTAAAAACAATTATACCCGTTATATCATGACATCCTCTCTTCTATAAAATCCTCTCTTTTTTAAGAATAGAATAAATATGACACTTTTTTTTTCTTTCTTTCATTTACCTTTTCTGAATTATTTTGCTAGTTAAAATGTCCATAGTAATGTATTGTATTTTCACGGTAATGACTACGACAAGAAGCAGCTTTGAGGTATCTTGTGGGGATTTTATCGACTGAAATCTCTATGAAATTGAAAAATTAGATAATGCAACTGTGAATGTCATGACTGATCCCGGATTTGGTGACGTTCTTTCGTAAGATGTTGGTGTTCCTCTAATCAGGTGCAAAATACCAACATGTCATTTATATACTGAGATTATGTCTACAAACTGATTAAAAATACGCATGATGTACATGCCAACAATTTCTAAAACGAGGCAAGAAATTGACATGTTTTTGAGTAATATTCATTAAAAGTATTAGTATTTTGGTCCCTCAAAAGTGTTTAAAATTTAAAGATCTTAACTCCATACTCTACTATAAAACCTATACAAATTGAATTTAAACTGTGAAGTATATGTAGTAAGTTTACTGGATTCTCGTATGTTCATAATACGATTGCTTATCATTCCTATAAAAGTATACGTAACACTAAATAACAGGAATTTGTTTAAAAAAGAAAAGTAGTTATTCAAAATATAAAACAATGAATAACATACCTATGAAACACAGTTGATCTATTGTGAACGTAACAGTCCGAAATATTATGCCTTATAACAGTGTTTTTAAAGCGCAATAAATCAGTGCATATTTAACCCTTAATCAATATCAATGTATTGCAAAGGTTTTTATTTTTGACGAACCATGCTTCATCAATCCTGAATAGAGATTTAATTACTATTCAAGACGCTCGAATTCTATGTCACAACACACTGTTATAACAGTGTTTCTGTTTATCTACTTAATTTAGAGAACCTTAATATTTTCAACAAGTCATGTGCACCTAAGAACAAGACTTTTTACATTCAGAATATTGTTTACTGTAAGAGAAAGCTTCCTGATGAGTTTCTTATACCTTCTTATATTATAATAGAGCTAGGTTCACTTGATGCATGGCTCATCAATCTTGAATAGAAAGGTCTTATAACTACTGAAGACGCTTGAATTACATGGTAAACACAGCGTTACTGTTTATCTCCACTAAATTTAGAAAGGCTTTACACATGTTACATTTCAAACAGTTAATGTGCAACTTGAAACCAGTTTACAACTCTATTACATTCACAATTTTTTTATTGAAGTGTCTGAACTCTGTCTCTGCTTATTAAAGGTGCTAGCTATTTAATGAAAGCCTCATACAAAGAATAACAGTATTTATCCTTTTCAAAATTTGTAAAGCAGATAGTTCGTGGAGCACTTTGAAGAAATTTACATAGCTACAAAGTTATTGGTTGACGATGTTTACATTAATCGCATTATTTTATTTGTGATTTAAAGAAATGTTGATTTAATATAAACAAGTGGTTATTCATTATATTCATACGTGGTATTCCTTTCTAAGGAGAAACAACTTTAACATCATTTGTCAGTTTTTAATACTTTTAATATTCGAAACAATCAAACTGAATTAAAGTTTACATACCTCTACCTCATATTTCATACCTTTTACAATATATATATTTCACATATTTGGATATTATAATAGACAACGACGTTCAAGGTAACCTTACAACCATACTTTATGAAAAACCTGTTGACTTCCACTTTTTAGTTGTTAACCTCTTTTATTATGCGATGTTCCAATATATCACCTGTATATTGAGGTTTTCGCCTCTACGTTGATTAAATACGAATGCTGTACATGCGACCAATTTCTAAAACAAGGCAAGTAATTGAAAAATAAAAAATTCTTCAAAGTTCATCATTAATATTAATCATATTACATAGGGAAAACAAGTGAATCTTAAAAATAGTTTCTGCAAATGCGTATTAAAAATACCTTCCATGTATTTTCTGATTGAAAATTGATCAAAAATATAATTAACTTTAATCATTTTATAATACATGGTGTATTAAAGGTTAACTGTCACTGCAAGACACCGTAAACCATTTCTAATTTTATAATATGCCAATGAGCACTGGTATCTAAGGTAGGATTAAAGGAACAGTTTTTTTTATCAAAAGTGTAATTTGATAAATAATACTTATATGAAGTAAAAATAGCAACTTTTTATCAGTCCATTTCTAAGACTTCAAAGAACCTTAAATCACACCAGGATGCATGAAATGAAAACTGTTGCATGGAAAGGTTTCAATTTCAAATTTAATTTTGATATTTTTAATAAAACAATAGATAATTTAAGAATTATCCTTCCTGGCTGAGGATAGGAATACCTTAACTGACATTATTCATACAAAATAGCTGGGCGATTACGAATATTTTTCCCCTATTTTTCCGATCATTAAGAAGCACACGGTGACCTGTCGAAAGAGGATGCTTACTCCTCGGTGGTATCTGATGAAACAGATGCGAATGAAACAGTAATATCAGGGCATATTATTTAAATTTTCCACTCTGTGCAAATAAGCTGTCTCCTCAATACATATAAATGTTTTAAAAAGTGAGGTATTATAACAACAGATTTGCTAAATGCTAAATATTTCTATGATATTTGTGCAAGAGATCCATGAAATATATAATGTAACTAAATAAATTCCTCCTTTGACAGTTTATAATTTACATTTATATTTCAGAGAGAGATATTGAGAGAGAGAGAGAGAGAGAGAGAGAGAGAGAGAGAGAGAGAGAGAGAGAGAGAGAGCGAATTATTATTCAGTAAGATTTAAAGTCCTCAGCGTTCTGTGAAATTTGTTCTGTTAAAGTCAAATTTAAAAATAAAATAAAGTACATGTACTTGGTTGAGTGCGTGACAATGTGGTTTTTACACTGTGGGACTTTTAAATTTTGGTTATCTGTTATCATATTCTTCTAAACCTAATTTATTTTAAAAAGCCACATGTCGGCCATGATGGGAAAATATTTATTCTTCCTTGTTTAAAATTCATTTTGTGATATAAGGGACAGAAAGAGTCAACAATTCTAATGTTTTTTATCTGTAAGTTATTTAATATTTTTTCATCTCTGATCTAAGACCTACTACATATATATTTACTTTTTCTTTATTGTTTTCTGAAATGGCACTCAATGGAGCTATCATATGTACTTTGGGAAATTTGTATCATATAAAGGTGTGCATATTGAATTTATGCAGTTATTTTGCTGCATAAAATCCTAGCAATAGTTCTCTGATGGAAAATATAAAAGACTGAATAATGTATAAACTTACTTTGGAAAAGTAAATGCAGTCATTGTATTGACATTTAATAAAGACCATCAGAAGTACTGTTGTCTGAATCTTCCAAGAGGGCAGGGTTTTGTTCTTTAGACTAAATGAAGCTCTACATTGGTATATGTTGACACTTTTATACGAATTGAAAAATTCTCAAAAGAATACGTTAAACCACACTAAATCGATTCGAGTTATCTCTCTTTAATCCAGAAGATTCACCAACAATCCTAGTTTTCATATTTTCATTGATTTTGATTCTGGTAAGCATATCGAACTATCGAAAAACTGATGTCACAAAAAGAAAAATTCTTTAAGCACTACAACAAAACGAAAGACATTCCTTGTGGATTAAATATTGTTTATTTCTTAGCTAACGAATTTCAAGAAAAATTAAACCCTAAATGAAATTTTAAAAAAGTAAAATTGAATATCCACGAACACTTTTTTTAGGTAAAAAGCTAAAGAGTTTCATTTCAAAGAAAATTAATGCTTCTATTGTATAGTTTTATCCAGATTTTAATAAAGTGTAAGAAGCATGGCTGAACGTACCTTCCTTTTTATTTGTGGAATGATTCTGACAGGTAATTAAGTTCAAAGTTTTCAGATTTTGTTTTGAAGTATTAAAAATTTCAACTGAAAAAGTGTCATCAGTATTAAACTCTGTAATCACTGAATGAAATATATGGAGAACAGTATCAAAAATTTAAAGTCCATAAAACAATACAAAAAAGGAACAGAGAAAACACGGGTCTCCAAAACATCAGAGGTGGGATCAGGTGCCATGGAGGACTGAGCATCCCCTGTCAACTGGACACACCCGCCGTGTGCTCGTCATGATCAGGAAATAACGAAAAAATCCGTCGTCAATTCAAGATGTATAGATAATGGACTAACAATTAGTATGAAAAAATCAGTCAGATTTGACTCAATGATAAATTGTATTTGCTGACAAGTTCATTGTATCAATTGTAGAACTTTCGAAATAATGACTTAAAACGAGACAGCTGAAATTCTTTGTTCATCAACTTGTTTGTAATAAAATTTTATGATACTTTTACATATACGTATATGAAATACATGGTGTCAATGTTCATATTTTCCATTCTGATTTAATTATAGAGATCAATTGCAATACATAATATTTTTGTTCTGAACCACACTTTCTTTTGATGAAGCTATAAATTTAAGGCAAAAGGAGATAATCCTAATGATGAATGTGGCCATAATCGTAAGAGGAAAATACGCTATCGCCTCTTGTTTCAGTTGCTCAAGTCGTCCTTCTTTGATAGTTTATCCTACCGATTGTTTTACACAATATATATATATGAACCTATCATATAAATGGACTAACTAATAATATCTAATATAAATTCAAACAACTAAAAACACATGCATTACATTTGATTTTGTCTGGACCTGTCATCGGGCATTTAATAACAAGGGGTATATGCTCAAGCAGTCCTGTATTTTAATGCGGGTTTAACGTAATCAATTCTCAATAAATACCTTAAAATATAAAGAAAATACCGGGTATAAATACAAAAAGAATAAGAGAAAATTTGCAGCAATTCTGACAAATGAAATTTGTGCATTGTTTCACATTAATATAAAAAAAAGTTTTAGTTAAAGGCTATTAGATATTCCTAATGTTTTTATTTATTTGTAGTCAGTTGCAAAACCTTTACGAAGTGCGGACTAGCAAAAGAATTAGCTAGACTTGGAACATTAGAGAGTGATATTGATGATTGTAAGTGAATCTAATTCACGGCTTAAAAATTTAAGACGAAGACACCATTTTTTTCTTGGTGGTGAATATTATCAAACAAAATATATATATTTTTCGTTAAACCATACAACAATGCCAGTTCTCCATGTCATTAAACACAGTTAAAGACATAGGATAATTTTCCCACATTTCTCCAACTGTCTTTAACGACCTTACTAACAACAAACCAGACATTAATTCCGTTATATGTTTTTTCCTTTTCTTAGTTTTACAGAATCGGTAGCAGTTATTACGTTGTCAATAAATAAAAGCAAATATAAATAAAAGTTACTTATTTTCATGAAAGTTCGTTGCTTAAACCAATGAAGGATAAATTCCTTTTCATTCGACTTTGAAAATTATTTAAAGAAAAATAAAAATAAT